CTTCTTCTGATCTGCTCGCTGTTAGTCTGCTTACCTGTACGATAGACATAACAAACGGGGAATGTTGTCGAGATACAAGAACGGCACATTTAGCGTAGCCACCAGAAGAAAATCCCAGTAGGGCTACTGGGATAACTGTAAGTGGTTTGCCTTTATAATGCAAACTTCTTATATCGTCATGATAAAACCTACTGATCAGAATAACGTCGAAAGCATCCCCTGTCGGACATATGATAGTCAGCAGTATGAAGAATAATCCAGAACCAAGTAATGCTATCGAATTGAACAGACGGATTTTAGCTACTTCAGAAATGCAGGTGAGCTTGTCTGATGCTAATCCAGTAAACAGTTTAATAATCAGCTGCAACAAAGTATAGGTTATGACAGATCCTCGGGTAAAACTCAAGTTAGTTCAAATAGTTACCAGACCACCTATAGGAGCCATAATAAGGAAACCAGCAATAGATATTGGATATCCCAAAGTATAGGAGAGATAAAGGGGTGAATAAGAGATCGTAAATTGAGACACGAGAAAATTGCCAATGACAGCAATCCATACAGCCCAAATCACCAACGAACGCATGATTCGTCGAACTGGGTGCTGAAATATTGTGATTTTAGAAAATTTAGCTTATAGTTTACAAGGATTTTCGCCCTTACAACTACTTTTTCTGATAATTGTGGTTTGCCAGACGTAATCTTCTGGATCTCTTTACGAGCCACAAATGGATGACCTGACGGATTGTCCCTGAAAGAAAATGTTAGGTTTTTTCGGTAGAAAATCATATTTCTATGCGATTTTTTGCTTACGGCTATTGTAATTATATAAATAAATGTTATAAAAAAGTTCGTTAAGTTAAAAAAGTTATAGAAGATTAATTCTTTGCATTGTATAGTTGCGCACTATTAGGTCTAAATGAAGCAAACCCTACAGTCTGAAGTAAGTGTCATCAGCTTTTCTTTATATTTCTGGGTTTCCCGATTATCTTATTTTTTGTTTTTTCTTTCAAATTAACTTCTTAAACTAGATTATTTCTAATCTTACACTTACCTATAGTACAAAGCCCAAAGGGTAGTGCTTACACCCAAACATGCAGCATGGAGATAGAATACGGCATCCCA